GGATTTCCATTTTCTCATATCACTCTTATACTGATCAATTCAGTTTTAAGACTAAACTCCAAAATAAGCAAGTATTATCTAAACACAAGAGTATTCTTATTTGTATCTTGTAATCTTTTTTGTATTTCTTCTATATCTGTGCAGTAATCCAGTGTGAAACTCTCTCTCCGTGCATTAGCTTCCAGTAATATTGACCTGTCACTACTGCTCTCTTTCCTTGTCCAGGGTAACTCGTCTTAATCCGACCCTTCCTGTAGTTTTCTGCAGGCAGCCTGTAGTGGGTGGAGCCTGCTAAGTCCCACCCACAGCTCTGCTTTAAGCACAGGCTACATACAGCCCAGTGATGATGTCACTGTTACATTTATATGGCAATAGCTGGTCTGCAAAAGAATATTGTGCACACAAAGTGGATTTATACTGTATGCACAACAGCTATTAAGAAATATACTTAAATTAATGTTTTTGTGCCCGGAGTTCAGCTTTAAAATCATTTATTCATTGTTGTGCACTATTATGCAGATCCATTGTGCAGCGTTGGGGTGCCATTCAAAAGGGCTAAAACGCAGCATTTCTGTAATACTATAGAGTAGATCAAAATGAGTTGCAGTGCAGTTTACATATTTATATGCAGTAATATGGGCAATTTACTATGCATCACAACACGGCAGAGGTGTGAATCCAGCTTCATTTAGAAGATTTTTGCCATTCAAATATATCCTTGCATGTTTAATATCATAAGAGAAATCTTTTAACATGTGCTGAACAATCTCCTTTAGTCGCACCAAACAGCAGCTTTCCTACTTAGGGATTTTTCTCATTTTGCAGGATTAATACCAGCTTGTGGAGCTCCAAGCTCTAAGCTTAGTGAATACCACTGCCCCCCACTCCCCCCCACCTATTTAAGCTCACTCACTCCTGTAAGCTGACCTAAGTGTGTAAAGGTGCCCATACACCAGGTGATCCCGCGATCGTTCGATAATCGGCAGGTGTATGGGCAGCGTGCGACCGCATCCACTGTACGGTCGCACAACTTTCGCCTTCCTAGCACGCTGGAAAACCTGCCGAAAAACGTACGATTCTCAGTGTGTTGGTAGCGTGCTCGGAAGACGAAAGCCGCAGTCCCTCAGCGGGGCGGGCTTGCGATGATTGCAAGTACGATCTGCCTGCCCAAGATGGGCAGGTCATATGAAATTTTAATGACCTTACAACCATCGCACAACGAAAGTCGTGCGATGGTTGTAAGGTGTATGGCCAGCTTTACCCTGCCACCCATCAGATCACAGATTAGGCAGCTTGTTGCCGGAACAATGTAAAATTTCAGCTGGTCTTTAAAATAAACTCTTACAGGGTTGTTCACAAAAGGGTGAAGGGTTTGGAGAAGGCAGGAGAAGTGAACAATCTAGGACAACATACCGTGTTAGTTCACCTCTCCTGTCTTCTCCAAACTCTTCACCCTTCTGTCAATAACCCCCTTAAAATAGTATTAAACTCTCAAACTTTTTTTCAATAATGAATCCAGATCAAACAAATGCACAGCAAAATATTTACTAGCACACACAAGGGTGGCTCCATATGACCCTGTAAGGGAAAGGAGCCATCCTAAAACTGGATATCAGGGCCAGTGTTCAGATGCCCAGTTGATTCCACAGGAAACCATCCATGGTAAGTTAGCATTTGAAATAGCTTAAAACCCTTTTGACTTTAATATCATTTTAATTTGTCTGAATTGAAAAGGATTTTAGGTGATGCATATGAGAACTAAATTGCTTTTGCGTGTAGCCAGAGTTCCTCTTTAAGCCCAGCTAGAGTTTTCCATCTCCTCTCACCTCCTGAGCACGGTCCTGATTTTGGAATATTCACTTTCTTTGTCTAGCACTCTGAGAAGATCATTGGTCCTCATAGACTACGGCACATTTCTACACATCTGCCACAATCAGATCGTCCTATCTCAGGTCTCAGGTCCCTGCCATTCATTTGCTGGACCTCGGGAGCTAGGATTCTTTCTGGATATTTAAACACAAGGGTCTGTCTGTCTCTATGAATAGGTGTATACAATACATCTGCAGCACAAGTCACAAGGACTTTTCTTTGTCTGTATGAAAACACTGCAGGTATTTATCACCACTGCTCACATTGTGTTGGTAGGAATAAAAAAAAAAAGAAAAATGTTATCTGCCCAAAACATTTATTAGAATAACATTCTGTACAAACAGGATGATGCTTATTAAAAACAAATATCTTTATGGAAAAAGAATTGATGATGATCAAAGTGCAGTATTCCCCAGCAGCCAATCAGATTTGAGTTTTTTTTCCCCCAAGTTAGATCAGTGGAAGAAACATTCCGATTGGCTGCTATAAGCAACTGCGCTTTGCTCTGGGGCAAAGCCTGTGTTATTTTTCAGCATCTATTAAGATCCTCATTAATGGAGCCCACTCTGAATCGTGTGCTTTGTACCAGCCTTCCCCCATTGACTATACATTCTGGGTGTCATCAGCTACCATCCATCACATCAGGAATCCAATGCAGTGGTCCTCTGAGCAGGTGTGCTTGAATGGGCAGAATAAAGCTTTTGTGTTCCTGTAATATGGAGCATGGCCACTGGGGGCAGCACACAGGGTGGATCTGACACTGCTTTCTAAATTCAACACAGGCTACTATTAACCCTGTCCCTGCCGAACCATCCAGAGGCACATTTCACTGCAATTCCAACTCAGATCAGATCTCTGCGATGGGGGGTTTACCATCACTCAGAGAGTAAAATCCTATCAAACCCTCTTCAATCTGATAATCTTCATGCACATCATCTGTCATTACGCATAGGTAGACCGTCCACATATACTGGTTTGCTTTAAAAGGCTTCTGTGATTATTCTGCACATGTGCTTAAATGAAAGCTAATCCTGTTAAACAGAATCCTCTTTCTAAATTAATGAGTAGCCCTAAATACAGCACCCTCTTTCCGAAATAATAAGCAGCCCTATACACAGCATCCTCTTCCCCAATAAAAGGAGTAGTCCTATCACAGCATCTTACCCCAAAAAAATAAGTAGCCCTATCGCGGCATTCTTTTTCCAAATAAATGAGTAGCACTATACGTAGAATGTTCTTTCTAAATAGGAGTAGCCCAATGCACGGCATTCTCTTACCAAAAATAAATAAGTACCCCTTTACACAGCATTCTCTTCCTAAATATTTAAATAACCATTTACAGAGCATCCTCTTCCTAAAATAAATGAGAAGCTCTATACACAGCATCTTCTTTCCCAAATAAATGAGTAGCCCTATACAGTATTACAGAGCATCCCCTTTCTAAAATAAATGAGAAGTCCTACACACAGCATACTCTTTCTCAACTAAATGAGTAGCCCTATACAGTATTACAGAGAATCTTCTTCCTAAAATAAATCAGTAACCATACCCACAGCATCCTCTTACCTAATAAAATGAGCAGCCTTATACATAGCGCCCTCTTCCCCTAATAATTGAGTACCCCCTATACAATGCATTCTTTTCCCTAATAAAATGAGCAGCCTTATACATAGCGCCCTCTTCCCCTAATAATTGAGTACCCCCTATACAATGCATTCTTTTCCCTAATAAAATGAGCAGCCTTATACATAGCGCCCTCTTCCCCTAATAATTGAGTACCCCCTATACAATGCATTCTTTTCCCTAATAAAATGAGCAGCCTTATACATAGCGCCCTCTTCCCCTAATAATTGAGTACCCCCTATACAATGCGTCCTTTTCCCAAATAAATGGAAGCCTTATACATAGCACCCTCTTTCCCTAATAATGAAGTACCCCTTATACAATGCATTATTTTCCCAAATAAATGAGTAGCTTTGTACATAGCACCCTCTTCCCCCTAATAATTGAGTACCCCTTATACAATGCATCCTTTTCCCAAATACATGAGTAGCCTTATGAAAAGGAGGGCATAAAGTAATCATTTGTAAGCACTGCTGATAATATTCATTATGCCATTTAAGTGATGGGGGGGGGGGGGGGCTTGCCAAAGAAGAAGTGAATGAATAAATCCGTAATAATGCTAATTACTATGGGATTGTAATAGTCAGCTCTCACACAAAGGGAACCTTGCATATCTTTAGCAGGATGGATTTAAATGCAGCTTGTGGAGTCCACAGATGAGAAGCATGGGCACATACACATGTCATCACCCAAGCACGCTGCACCCATTATTTATCTGTACAAAGACGAACCACATTCATTTACCAGCAGACAGATCAATGGGAATAAATACCCCGAGAGGCTCATTATCTTAAACAAATCACACAAAAACAATATTAGATTGCTGGGTTTGCACTGCTGATGCGCTGAGACTGGTTTGATGGGGGCTTCATAGTTGAATATTTGGGGAAAGAGGGGAGGGGGTGCAGTGCATGGAGCCTGCTGTGTATTCCTTTTCTCTGGTTATTTCTTGCTGTTTGGCACAATTCCCTGCTGCTGGGAGACTTGTTGACACAGCCATGTGCTCTGCTACTAGACAGCTTTACACACCAGGATGGGAGACAATGCTATGCCCCCATCCACTGGCACTACAAAGAGATGTTATGATGAGGCTGCCATGGCAACGGGACACTAAGGACCTCCAACTCATTTTAAGGGGGGCTTTCACTGCAAGATGCTGCAGAGCAATGTGGCATTGATGGTTCTATCGGTGGACAGTCTCTGGGAAGCCAGACAGACAGTGGGTGTGTGACATGGAACTGTGCTGGGAAAACCTAGCAGACAATGCTGGGAGGCACCAGACAGCTAAGGCAAGCCAAATGCATCCTGCCCCCCCAAATGAAAGTTTGCAGTCTGCATGACATTTAGGTTGACACTTCACAGCCCAATTGCCTATAGAACAAAAGGGAAAGGGCTGAGGCTGAACTGCAAGAGCTATTGCAGTGTGCTGATTGCAAGCTCTTGGGCTCAGGCTTTTGGTTGCAGCGCTCTGCATTGAACATCGCATACATGTTGCTCGGTCTACTCACCCAGGATGGAGGCGATCAGCCCCAGTGACAGCCCGAGGGACCAGCAGCAGCTTCCACAAGCCATACTGTTACTTTGTAACGTTTCCCCAAAAAATGAAATAAAACGAAATGCAGATCAGTGAATGGAGCGGAGAGAGGCGGCGGAGGTCAGCGGTTAGCGGGACACGCGGGGACACATTCGCTGCATTTTGCACATGTGTAGAGGAACATTGGCAGCATCCCGTGTGCAGACCATCCGCGTGTGTGTGTGTGTGCAGAGAGGAGGCAGCAGCAGCTCCAGGTCCCCCTCTCCTCCTCCTCCTCCCCACACAGTCCTCTGGAGGCCCTTTCTGGGGAACAAAAGAGCCAGCCACTGCTCTCCGCCCGGCCACTTTTTAAGCAAGTGATCCCTACGCTTCACAGATGGGAGGAGGGATCGCAGATCTGCCTGCGCTTTACCTTCCACCTTGGCAGATTGGCAGTGCCATGCCTCCCTCCTGATCGGTGGAAGATGATGCACAGCAGTCAGGGGTGGCACTCAGTGACATGGACCTGATTCAGAATTTTAAAAAAAGGGGTTTAGAGGAGCTGATGGGACTTCTCCCAAATCTGGGTAAAACAAAGGCGCATGGAGAGATCCGGGGGTGCTGCTTGAGGGTCTACAATGTAACATGACTCAAGGCATAGAAGGATGATGATGATGATGATGATGATAATAATCCCTGCAAAGTTAAAAAAATAATTAAAACGCTGACCAACATGCAGAAAAGTTCCACGATTTGTTGCACAAGTCCCAGAATGAGTTTCATTAATATAGCAGATTCGTAGCCAGGTGACATCCTACTAGTGATGCTGGGGGTATCAGACATATGTACATATAGAACTATCATTAATGTCTCTTTGGTCCCTGAGTCTGGGTAATATCCTACTAGTGATGCTGGGGGTACAGAGCATATGCACATATAGGACTAAGATTAATGTCTCTGTGGTCCCTGTGTCCGGGTGCCATCCTACTAGTGATGCTGGGGGTAAAGGACATACAGTATGTACATATAAGACTATCATTAATGTCTCTGTGGTCCCTGTGTCCAGGTGACATCCTACTAGTGATGCAGGGGGTACAGGACATATGTATTTACAGGACTATCATTAATGTCTCTGTGGTCCCTGTGTCCGGGTGACATCCTACTAGTAATGCTGTGATAGAGGACATATGTATATACAGGACTATCATTAATGTCTCTGTGGTCCCTGTGTCCGGGTGACATCCTACTAGTAATGCTGTGATAGAGGACATATGTATATACAGGACTATCATTAATGTCTCTGTGGTCCCTGTGTCCAGGTGATATCCTACTAGTAATGCTGGGGTAGAGGACATATGTATATACAGGACTATCATTAATGTCTCTGTGGTCCCTGTGTCCAGGAGACATCGCACTAGTGATGCTGGGGTACAGGACATATGTATATACAGGACTATCATTAATGTCTCCATAGTCCTTGTGTCTGCAGGACACCCTTCTATCGGTGTTGGAGGTACAGGATATATGCACATACAGGACTGTGCATTCATGTCTTTGTGATCCCTGTGTTAAAGTGACATCCCACTAGCGGCACTGTGGCACAGGACATATATACATACAGGATTATGCATTATTGTCTTTGTAGTCCCTGTATCTTGGTGACATTATACTATTGATGCTGGGGGTACAAGACATATGTGTACATACAGGACTATACAGTAAAGAAAATCTAAACCCAATCATTAAAACTTTATATAATCTTTTTTGTGTAAATGTATTTTTAAAGTTGTTTTCAATCTTTTTTTAACTCTGCAGCTTTTATTCTAAATGGTACCTAATGATCCTGCCATGATGGTCCTTGTTCAAGGCTTTCCTGTTGTGGGTTGACAAAGCTCTTTCCCAGTCTCCCAATTGTGCTTCTGCATTGTCACGCATGCTCCAACAGGTGACCACATTGACAAACATGGAGCAGATATGATCCACTGTTGTCAATATCAGGAAGCCGGTTCAGAGCAATAAAGTGCAGCTGACACTGGACTGTCCATGTACTGTAGACAAGAGATGGATGAAAGAGGCTGGAGGATCAGCAGCACTGAGGTGAAATAAAGGATGTAAAGAAAGCAAAAACAGTATTTTATGGAAAAAGACATCCCAATAGTTGGATACATGGTGCTTTAGCAAAACTAAATGTCATCCAGTTAAGGTTTGCATCTACTTTAAAGAGGAACCTCACCCTACCTTGCCAAAATGAGATTCCTGATCCTTAACATTTGTCCCTGTATGAAAATTAAAGAAAAGACATGCTTACTAGTCTATGAAGTCCAGTGTTGTCATCCTTGCAGGAGACGTTCCTCTTGTACCAATCAGCTCTTGCACTGCCACCTTGAAACAAGATCTGGCGCATGTGCAAACATGCCACGGGTCTTTACCAGGCCATACACCTGGCAGAGGCCAGTGGCATGGCTGCACATTCGCTGGATACGCTTTCATGTGCAGACACGTTGCTGGTCTATGGGACCTGCCAGGAACTCATGGTCTGTCTGCACTTGCATGGATTCCACACATGCGCATATGTGCTGTGGGTTACTCTGGGTCTCAACAAGGTTGCAAACGGCCTCCCGGAATGTGTGACATAAACATCCCAAGAGGCAGTGGATGGCGGATACATTATCCTTGTCTAGGGGAGAATTCAGGATGTGACTGTATAAATAATACAATAAAAGGTATTTAGTGTGACATTTTTTCTGCAATTTTGCAGTAGAGGGGCGGGAGGAGGAGACAGGTTAGAATACACTTTTATGGGTGAAGGTCCACTTTAATGTCTCTTCTGATGTGATGGACACAGCCTTTACTTTGCTTCCCTTCTGTTGTTCTTTCCAGGTGATAAAGTAGGTTACAAGCTGATATTCTTCTTCCATGCTGCTTAAAAGTAGCATGTTTGTGCTGTGTTTGCTAAAAAGCAGCTGTGGCTAAACAGGCAACACATGAAGATATATGAACACTTTGGAAAATAATGCAAATTATGTGATACTGGGCTGGGCAAATCCCAGGAGCCAGGTCGCCAATGCTTCTCAAAAATTACACCTGGCACCTAGCTTCTGATGTTTTTTATTGTTGTCAATTGAGCTGGTGCCTAAAAACATCATGCTGGCACCTGTATTGGACAAACTGGTTCCCTGATTCCATATTACGTTGCCCACCACTGATGTGAAATGTGTAGCAGGGTGACAACATTCCTCACAGGCTACAGTTACAGAGTCTATTTAATGCTTCCAACCTTGCTTCCTGCCTACTCTGGGCTGCTGATACATGGCCACCAGGGTCACCCAGCCCTCACCTTAGTTGTGTCCCTGGACAGGAGGATTCTCTCTTGCTAGAATTTATTTGGACTATTTTCCTGGCAATTCTCTCTATATTTCCTGTTGGTATTCTTCTTATGAATGTGACATCCCCAGAATCACTAGAAATATATATATATGTATATATATATATATA